TCTCTCTCTCTCTCTCTCTCTCTCTCTCTCTCTCTCTCTCTCTCTCTCTAATTTTCTGTTGTCCTCCTCCCTGTCGTCTACTCCCTCTCCTTGTGTACTAGTAATTGCATATGAATGAGCGTCGTTGAGAGAACAGACAAAATATAATTACCCCTTTACTCTGCCTCCTTTTATAACGCGCAAGTGGGCCGTAAAGGCACATGGGGATATGGGCAGCTGGCGCTCAACCATCATCAACGTGGCCAGCCTTGTACGTGATAGGCACAGTAAGAGGGAAACTGCAAAAACAAAGAACATGGGAGGCCTCCCAATGCTGGCTGATGAAAAAATAATCAAGAAAACGATGTAGCATACTAACAAATGTACTGCGTCTCGTATTCTTTTTGCCGTTGGCATGGCCCATCTCGAGCGTGTTGCATTGCCTGTTTAAAGGTAAGGTTCTGAATAGATATTGACTTCACAAGCAAAACTGTCTCATTGGTGGATTGGCTCATCTCGAATATGCTTCATTGTCTGCAATATAGGTAAAGTTGCTGTGACTTTGGATCTACTCATCTGGGCGGATTTGTGGTGATAATTTGTAACACACACACACACACACACACACACACACACACACACATGCCAACACACGTATTTGCGCATGCATGGACACACATGTACGCATTTCCTCACATCCTTATTGCTTGGCTGATATGCCATGGAGGCCTTGATATGCCATGCTTAAACAACTGCAAATATCAGCCTGCTTTCCTGCTGACATGTCAGGAACATGCCATGTGTCATGAATGTTTCCAGGAAGCTGTCATGGGAAGTATGTCTTTACTGCGTGGACTATCCCCAATGCCATGGTGTCATCACCCGCCATGTCCTCTCAGTTCATGTCACGCATGCAACATAGGCATTCTTCACCTGCACCTGTAATCGAATCTCCTCTATCCTTGCTAGATGCGCGACAGACGGTGAAGCGTGAGGTGGAAATTAGACTCACGTATGAATCACCTACACTGCCCTGTACTGTAAGGTCATCGCTGTTATGGCGAGCTGTTGCAGATCAGATCTTGCGATAGTTAAGCACCCATACTTTGGATCAGGCCCGGTCATCGCCTGCTGATGGAGGGGGAATATTGGCTGCGGAAACCCAAGGAACCTGCACATGCTGCATTGTGATGACCCACCTGAGATTTGGCTTAGCATGTGATTCTATCCTATGTGTTGAGAGGATTATGAAGGTATAGCCTACGCGAGTTTTGGTTTTCATACGTTTGACGACAATCAACATTGTACTCACGTAAGACACCCGTGCATGGCATGTCCTATTGTAGACGTGCTGGAACAACAATGCCATATACAATAGCGGTCCACGTGCCTCTCTGTTCTTAGCATGTAGGAGCCACATAGCCTGTGACATAGCTCTACGCTGTGCCATTCAATGCAGCAACTGCAACTGCAAGAATTGGATGTGGTGCTTCCACCATCCATACCCAAACCGGTCCTGTCCGGTCTAGACAACGGCTGCTCCTTGACTCAAATTGCCCTGTAACCTAAACACTGATTAGTCTCTTGTGCCTTTTTATAGTAGTGTGCTCCAACGGCGAGCATTGAGAACCCTGTGAGGTTTGTATTTCCTCTGTTCTATTCCTTGACCCTCAACTTCCATCCTCTTCCCCTCCTCCCTGTTCCCTCCCTCACTTCCTGTAGAACTGTTGCATGCTGGGCCCCCAGGCCGCGTACCATACAGCACGCGCCCTGGAGGCCCACGGCGGCCCTTCAGGCCCTAGGTAGCACACAAATTAGATAGGTATAGTTTTACTTACCTTTTCGTGTGTATGTGCTGTCTCACTTTGTCTGTTCAGGTGCCGTTTCGGACTTGCAGCCCCAAGGCCAGACCTTGGGACTGGGTACACCGGAGGCAGGCCTGAAACGAGGCCAGGCGCATTTTGGTGCCAGACCGGTAGGTGCAGGCGTCGTTTCGGTCCTGCAGGTCCCAAGGCGACACCTTGGGCTAGGTGCACAGGTACCAGGCCATTTTTAGGCCAGGCGCATTTCTGCGCCTTGCTGCATCAGCAGCATGGTCTGGACGTCCGGTAGGG